TGTAAATCCGAAATTTTTTAAAGTTTTACAAAATATGAAATCGATAATGAAACAAATTCCAAATTTGGGCTTCCACATAATCACAATGCGAGAAATATACATTTATGCAGATTTTTCATAATTTAATTTCTTCAAATATAATGTAAGACTCTAACATTTGGTGGCAACAGTTTGAAAAGTGAAACGGACACATCTATATAGTGAACCAACGCAAAATCGCAAAACGAAAAAAAACAAAAAAAAAAAAAAAAAAAGAGTTCCAAGATTCGAAGACCTTCTACGGCGAGAGCCGGAAGTATTTGATCGCGAAAATCGAAATTGCTTCCACATCTGGCATCAAAAAGGTTAATTTCGTCGCAGAAATGAATATCAAATTCTAAATATAAAAAATCACAAAAATATGTGCGACTAAAAATATCTCGGTTGGAACAGGGGGCATGAAATCCACAGAGAAAATCTTCCGAAACAAAAATTTTCAAAAAAGACTTCTACGGAATACTACAAACTCTAGAAGTATACCATTAAACGGGTCCCATATCATCAATTAACGAGCCAGTCTAATGCGATAGGAGGTTCAGTGACCTCGTAAGGAAATGCCCTCAGACGTCTAGACAAGGATAACTGTTACAGCCGCCCCGCTTCTCGGCGTAAAGAGAAATTTAAGGGGGTTGTTAAGAATGGACACATTAAATCAATACAATATACCTGCTTGCATAATTGAAAATTCACATATGAACTTCATATTTACAGCGTACAATCGCGCTATTTTCGCTCTTCACATAACACAAGTCATGCCCCACTTTCGAGCCCCTAGTCTACAGTAACCCTTGACAGGTATTTCCCCAGGAACAGTTTCATCACATTTTGTTTACAAATAGTTCAACCACCAAATCGTGGATTTGCAATTCCGCGCTTAAATAAATTAAAAAAACAAAAAATACTGCAGAGACCTATTTTATCTTAACTCCACACTGACGAATAATATATTCCTCCAAATTAATCTTTATATAATTAGAACTCTGTTTCTTTAAATATCTTTAATCCACATTTTTAATTCAAAATTAATCTTTATTAAAACTCTTAGCAAACAAACAATTTTTAGAACAACAAAATTGAATAATATTTTTGTTGCTATTCCAAAAACAAATGAAATAACATTAACCATTATTTAAAATTTTTGTGCAAGTTCAAACCACAACATCTGTATAACAAATTCTTCTGTTTAATTAGTTAACAAAATATGTTAATTTCCAATACAACATATTCCTTTATTTTAATTAGCCAAGTATTCAACAAAAATTGCTTTTAAAATTAAATTTCGAAATTCTAACTATTTTTGAGACATGAAAATTTAGTGAACACTTATCTTTAAAATCATTTTAAGATGCAAAATATAAACCATTTCCTTTATAACCATGTAGCAAAACTGTTATGGCATATACATGCTTTGAAATATTGGTACTGCTCCATTATCGGACCGGATTAAGAAATGTATTGCATATGTGTATGTATGTGCAGATATATGTATATGTATACAAGCATATGCATTCATGCTTACATAAATACATTGCATACATGGAGATATAAATTTATGCATACATACATTTCTGAATCCAATCCTGAGAACAGAACAGTACTGAAATATTTTATATGTTAGGAAAACTTCTGCTGTTTACAGAAACATTTGATTTTTTTTTTTTTTTTTTCTAAAATATAAATTAGTGAAGCATTTTTTTTTTTTCCTTCTCCAAAGAAGAAAGAAAGCTGAGCTACTGGAAATTTAATATAAAACTATAAAACTTGTGACTGAATTACATAAAGTTATCCCACATTTGCATCCTCACCTAGGTTCTCAACCTTTCGACTAACGCATACCATCTGAATAAAGACTGAAAATTTTAAGTACCAATGCTACATTTTATAATGATTATTTTAAGCTCTCAATAGAAATATTAAAAATAAATATATTTTGCCATTTGCACAACCTACTAACTATTTGTATTAAATATGAATACATAAAAATATTTTAGATTAATGGGTTATCATTTTTATTATCAAAATTTAAGTTAAAATACTTTAATTCTAGAATTTAGTATGAAATTTGGGCCTGAGAGACAAATTTCTTTGTGTCTGGTCTTATTTCACTCAGTTTTAATCGTAAATTAGGATCCACTTTTAATTTTGTTCTGTATTTAATGTTTAAATATAACATGGAAGAAAATCCTTATTCACACAAATAAGTTGTGCAAAAAGGCAATAAAACTTTAAGAGCTTTATTTGAAATGCCTTTAAAGTTATTTTTTGGTTCAGGCAAAAGTTAACAAGTGTATTGTTTTTGAAATCTTCAGTTCGAGTTCGATCACAGGAAATTTCTATCAATTATTTTTCTTCCCGAGATTTTTTAATTTAATAGTTAAAAATATGTTTCCTTTGCATACCACTGGTTGAGAACCCTTGCTCAAAAATGTATGTAGACAACAGACTACTGCAATTCTGGATGCCCAGCCATCTCTGTTCATTATATGACCAGATGCTAACTTAATTTTAAAATGATGAATTATTTCTTAAGGAAGCATTACCATAAAGTATATTTGGAATTCTATAGACAAATGATCAATGGATTATGATAATTTAGTGTGTAAAATTTAAATATGTGTGTGTGTGTGTGATTATGGCAAAGCCTCGAGGGCTATCTGCCTAAGAGGAGGGATGCCTTCGTGGAGGACTTTCTAAGGGAAACTGGCTCGTATACACATTACACATGGGGAAAACCACAAAAACGCCCATGCAGCCAGCCCATTCGCGGGATTCGAACCTCGGACCGAACTACCAGTGTTCGACTTTACCGCTCGGTTGCTGGTGGGCAAAATTTAAATATAATTATTAATCTTTGAATTATTAACCATCTCAGAACTTTTGCATCTACTTATTTCTACAAAATAATTATTTACTTTATTGTTTGTTTTCATAAACTCCAGATCACAAGAGTAATTTAAATTAAGAATAATGAATTTAAATTAATTTTTTGCTAACCTTAAACTCATACATGTCAATTTATATTTAAGAGTATTTTATTTAGCATTGGCCTAACTGTAAAATGGCTCCTTTAAGAACAATGAAATGCTACATTTCTACTTCTATTTCAGCAGTTTTCTTAAGAAGTTATTTCAAATAAGAAAACCTATTTTTCTCATTTCATATATTTTGTGGTTTATAAAAGTACAAAGTAAAATTTTTTCTACTAACTATAAAATTTACGAAGTTAGATTGAATAAAATTTTTTAAGTGAAAATAGCATGTACATAGATATATCACCACATAATCAAACACGTAAAAATAATAATGAAAAATCTGTATTTAAATCTAAGAAACCATTCAGCTAATATATTAAATTTCACCGAACAGAAATTTAAATTTTAGAATTAAAAATAGCTCATAATATGAATATACGAGATTTAAATGCTCAAATTCTTGTGATGGTGATTTATTAATTTAAAAAAAAGATTAGGGTTTCACTCTAAATAACTATTTTTTATTAAAAAATTATTGCATAACTAATATTCTCAACAGAAAAATTTTTTAGAACTTTTCTAACATATTGCATATATATTTAGTTTCATAAAGCACACACAATATACACTTTTAAAATTTACTATATTATTATATACACATACTTATTTTAATTACTGTATATTTATTATTTAATAATTAAATTATTTACTATACACAATATACTTTCAATTTCATTAAAACTTAAAAATTTTTATGGATCACCTGTATATCTTATTAATCTACTACACACTAATTATTTTTGAATACATATTAATTAAAAATGCATTCCCTTCATTATTTACATATTGTATTATATTCTTTTAACTCTTAGTTGCACTCAAAAGAAATAACTCATATGCTACTGTTAAGTAGAGTATGTTATGATCCTTAAAGATACTGCAAATATGGCCTTATTATAAAACTTATTATTCCACAATTTATAAACTTCTATTAATATAGTCAGTCCTAACATTTAGACAACTTTCAATCTATTTTTTTGCATAATCTTCGAAAACATTGTTAACAGTCAAATCATAATGTCTTTATTTTATAACTATACAATTGAAACTAGTATCAAAATTTATAACTTAATTATTTCAGTAATTTTATTAAAAAACCAATAATCATCACCTATATTACATTATGCTGAAGGACTGTTGCTTTCCACCTTTTGTTTTAATTAATAATCATTCACCTCTTATACTAAGGAATTATATAAGGTATAATCTACACTTAATACAACCCTGCATTTGTCAACTATTTACTCTCACTGCTCAGGTAAAATTATGCTTTCAACAAAAATTATTTTCAATTAAATATTTACATTAAATTTTTCTTTATTTCAATAGCATTAAAATATAATCAAGCTTCATATTTCAAGCATATATATTACAAGTTCATCCTGCATAAAATTAAACTAGTATTCTTAAAATTTTATATATTAATCAGGTACAACCAAGGATGGAAACAAAAAAACGTAATCACGGAAGCAAGATGTGTAAAATTCTGAATTATTTGCATCACTGGTATCAGAGTCTATGTTCTATATAAATGAAAGCATATTAAATAATTCTTCATTAAAATTAAGCATCACAGATTTAACAAGATGGCAGACGAAAAAATACATTATAAAGCAATTTTCGCGCAATCTCGTACAAAAATGAAAATTTAAAAAATTTAACCCATGAGATGAAATGTTTGAATAAAAATTTCAAGATGAACAGTTTCTTTTTCTTTTTTAGGTACATTGACACAAAATACTTTTCATAAATGTTTACGGCATACTGCCTCCAGAAGGCGATAATTTTAAACACCTGTAGTACAGAAAATAAATGTAAATATAGCGGTAGAACATTAAGTGATCATATACGTAAACATAGAGGGAGAAAAACAATGCTTAATTAAGACTACGAATAATGCAACAAGTGATACAAGAAATATTTTCTTACCTGATGAAAATAATAGCTAGCTAAGCCAGCTGATAAACCTGGGTCAAGCATCCATATTACCATGAAGAAGCAAAATTACGTAATTATGAATTGTAAAGCGTTTTAAAGTACGCCTTGCACAATATTTAGTTGTTAGAAGTATAAAATATTGACGGTTTTCCGGTGCTTTTATTTGAATTTATCAGAAAAATCAGCGAACGTACTTTAATAATCCGGTTAAAAATGCTCTCACCCTTCAGAACGGTTACAGGACAGGCGCCGGCTTTGGCGACTGATTTATCGATTTTTCGAACTTCATATATTGCGCGTCTATTCTGTCCGCTAGATGGCATACCTAAGTTCGCAGTTGGCGTTTTGCCAATTCATTCCAGGCAAATTCGTGAATAGCTTAGGAATATAATAAATATCCCAATTTTTTAAAAATTAATGAATCACATTCCTGTTAAACCAAGTAAATATTATAATGTCCTAGAATAAATAAATAAATAAAAATAATTGATGTTATTAAATAATAAGTATGGCGGATTCAGTTATAAAGGTTTCCACAGAACATAAAAAATGTTATAATTACAACTACTGGTTACTATATTCTTGAAAAATTACATGTTTGAGGATAATTCATTACGGTAGTTCATTTTTAAAGTCTCATATATACAATACTCATTGCAATCGAATTATATATATAGAAATTGTGCAAATGCTTCTGCGGGTAAAAAATTATTTATTATGGCTGAGAAAATTAAAAATATAATTATTTCTTTTATTAATTCTATTTCATAATCTGTATGAAATACTACATTTAAGGTTGCTTGTTAAGTCCACCATCATTTGAGAAAAATAAAAAAATAAGAGAAAAATTTAGCAAAACGAAAATGTACTGAATTATAAAAAAAATGGACTTAAATTTAAAATACTCTCTTTTTCACTACAATAGCCTCTATCTCAAACAATTTTATTATTTTCAATATAATTTTTGAATTAGAGAACGGCGTTTTCCAAATAGAGAGAGATTATTTTCAGAGAACTTCGCGAATCTTCGACGTAAAATTAAGGATACCCCGAAAATATTCAAAAATTACATATATATATATATTCAAAGTTTAATATGTTGCAGTTAGATTTATGCATACAATACTTGATCATTTTATTACATGGCACTTTGTATATTAAAATCCTGTTGCCATACCCGGCTCGAAAATATGCGGAACTGGATTCCCGCGAAGAATCAAAACGGCTTTCATGCGACTACATGTAAGACAATGCAACAACAGCAATTAAATCGTAAGGACCTCTTTCTCTTTTCCTTTATTTAAAGAAATATATTACAATATGTCAATTATTTACATACTTTGCTCAATAATGTATATGTTACTGCAATTTTTATGTGAATGATATCAAGCAAAGAATCATCATCACAATTGTCATTTAATTGCGAGCAAAACATCTTTCTCTCACCTTCCCCGACAGATACTTATATAACAAGGGGAAAATTTTTGTTTCTTTAAAAAATTAGGGATTTCGATGCATTGTGATTTGATGCATTTATGCATTGTGAAATACAAAAGGGTTTACGATGAAAATTGAACATGAAAATGTTGCTATAGATGGAATAATTTAGATATTCTAACAGTTATCACACACCTTATTATCTTATTCAATAAAAGAATAAGATAGAAAGGACACTGATTTTCATCATTAGTTTCACGATTATTGTATGATTGGTTTGTTTGTTTACCAAGGGTACAAATCAGCTCTAGGATGGAATTCGGTATGAAAAATTACTGTTCTGTGTCTTTGGTGATTCGGTGTCCATATCAGTGGCTGAAATGATATGACCGGTGGATACTGGTAGTTAAATCCAAGTTCGAATCCGGCAATTAGGTCGGCTGCACAGATGTTTTCATAGTTTTTCTATATTATGCCTAACGTTAATATTAACCAGTTTCCCTTGGAAAGTCCTCAACGAAGGCATCCTTCTCCTTAGTACTTGTGTGTTTTGCCATATTCAGCTAACTGTAGCAATTCAGCCTTTGGTGATTGGGTTTTTGGTTTGGTTTATTTAAGTATGGCAAAGCAAACTAGGGCTATCTGCCTAAGAGGAGGGATGACTTCGTGGAGGACTTTCTAAGGAAAACAGGCTCGTATACACGTTACACATGGGGAGAACTATGAAAACGCCCATGCAGCCAGCCCGTTCGAGGGATTCGAACCTCGGATTGAACTACAGTGTGCATCAACTTTGCCGCCCGGCCGCTAGAGTGACCTCAGCCCTTTGGTGAATCGGTCTTCATAAATGTGAGTGTAATCGCACTGAAATTTTGTTCAATTTTGTTGATAAATGCTAGTGAAATCAGAAAGAAAATCTGATTTAGAATCACATTAACTAAGTTAAAAATAATAATAATAACGCCTTAAATACGCAAATGCTTTTCTTTGCGTCTATTATTAAGTTCATTACTTATAATATTTCATTTCAATTCACTCTCCTAAAAAGTATCATGTTAAAATGTCAATATGTTGTTATTAAAGAGTCCATTCTGATGGAACGTTAAGTTAATTTTTTCCTTTAAAACTAAATAAATTAATAATTACTGTTATATTTTTTTATATTCTGTCTTCTAAAATTAGCTCTAAATTTACTTTCCTGCTTCAATGCATTAACTCAATTTTATTTAACACGTAAAGAAAGAAAGTTGTATCTTGAAACAGGTGTCTAAGGCGTTATTTATTTATTTATTTATTTATTTTTAACTCAGCTGACAATATTCTAAATCAGCTGCTCTTTCTCATTTCACTGACATTTATTATGAAATTTTTACATGTTTGAAAAAAATCACATCTAGGAAAAGAGAATTTTGTGTATTATATGCCTAATTAAAAATCTGCGTATAATTTTTTCTCAGCTGAATGATCCTAGATTTAGGAATGGTTTTTCTATGATTAGAATACTACAAATTTCAGAGAAACATTTATTTCATGGTTCAGTCAGTAGCAACTGTTCGTCCGCAAAGAGAAAAATCAAACAGCACTCGATAAATAAAATCAGTATGCATGGATCTCAAGGCAGACATCTTGTCTGTAAGAGTATTCCAAGAAAAGCTGAAAATATAATGACTCATACAGTTTGAATTCTCCTAACATCTTCCGCGTAGTATAACTGCAGCTGCCAATATTAAAGGGTTTGTCACAGAGTAAATATAATGAACCATTTTACTTCGAATATTTCCAGATGCAGGTGATATCAGAATGTCAAGAAAAAGAAAATGTGCTTCCCGAAGTACGAGAAAAGACTTATCAGATTTTATATTACGCTCAAAGGGGCGTTTTTTTAAGGTACTTTATGTTACCTTTATTTATTAAATATCATGCTCTTCGCACTGAAGCCATAAAATTCAGTTCAACAGCAATATCGCAAAATAATTTTAAAATGACCACATCTTTAGAACTTCCGATATACAATCTTGCGCGCTGGAATTTTTTTTTTTTTTCCCCGTACAGTGTTGCCATTGCTTGCTTTAAAATCGTTGAGTTTGTTAATTTCGTTAGTGTTACAAAAAATAAAATCGATAATAAAACAAATTCCAAATTCTAAATTAGGACTTCCCGTCGTTTTATCACAATGGGAGAAACTTACATACTTTTGTGCAGATACTTCATCATTTAATTTCTTTAAATATAAAACAGGGCGATAATATTTGGTGGCAACAATATGAAAAGTGAAGCGGACATTTGAATTTTTCAACGCAAAATGCCAAAGAGAAATTAATAGCCCTTTTGGGGTAATGTCCTTTGGGCTAATAATGTTATCGCAGAAAATGTCATAATCCTGCTTTTAGCACATGGCATATCTACAAAGTTATGCAAAGAATGTACATATTTAAAAACACCTATAAAGAGACTGCTTGATAAACAATAAAAAAAATCCATGAAAACTTCATGCAGTCGTCTCTTTTTACACAACGTTCGATAAATTCATGCATTTCATCTTTGATGATCGAGAAAAGTGTTATACCCGAGTAATGCATCCATATATAAAAGCCAAGTCTCAAACAGAAATGTTTCAATTCCAGATTTATTAATTAAAACTTGCATTTCGGTTTTGATAACAATTGCACTCGCAAATAAGAATTCCTAATTAACTAAAAAATCTTACCATTTAATTTTTTAGTATAAAACTTTAACCTCGTTACATCATAAAATCTTACAAATAGAATCCGTTTATAATAAGGCTTGAAAATTACTCTCTAATTTTCGCAAAATAAATGCTAGCTTAATAAGAAGAACATTCGAGAACATCCTGGGGAAAACCGTTAAGAATTCGTTCTAGAATGTTCTATGACTTATCGCTAATTTTGTCACCAAATGGGCGATTTCGCACCAAGTCTGGCAACCCTACTTTTCCATTCCAATTTCTGGCAAGCCTAAACCCGCTTTGCGAGGAAGCTATCTTACCGCAGCTGAGCATTTCGTAACGATAATAACAATCAAGAATGATGATACCGGGAACTAAAGTGTCAATACTGCACTCACAGAATCCGAACTGCTTCAATACTCGTAAAAAGTGTTGTCACTCAAGAGAATTACCAATTGGTATTGAAAACAGAATTTGCACTTAATGCTTGTTTCCGTAAGCAGATCATGCGTTTCAAAACAACCAACCAAAACTAAAAGAATAATTAGCTCAGATAAGGTGAGGAAGTTTTTGGAAATGGTGTATTTAATGGCTCCCATGCAGCCCGGAACTTAATCCGTAGGCTCATTTCATGAAGTTATGTTAAGACAGTTTGCATGAATTGCCCAAATTCGTTTAAAACCTAAAACAAGTATTACAACGAGTGATTACAGCTTTGAAGTTTCCTTACGTATTAGCGAACCTGCCTCAATAAAATTCGCCGAATTCTCGAAATATGCCAAATTCTGATAACCATGCGTATAAAAATTCATCAGTTTTAACAAGCAGCGTCACCATTTTTCTTTTTCTTTATTTATTGTATTTAAAATTCTAACACGATGTTTTTGGTCTTAACCTCAGTTTTAAAATATATGCTATTGGAATTAACCTGCAATGGAAAAAAAAAAAAAACTGACAGTGAAATTTCTGTAACAATACATTATTTTACCATAGAATCGCTAAAAGGAAAAACGTTTTTGAAAATCTATTCTTAAAGTGATCGCCACAGAATTTCCACCAAATCAAAAGAAAAAAAACTGGCTTTTTAAGTAGTTTTATTCATAGATTTTTGGAATAA